CGTAGGAACTTCTTTTTTTTTTAAATTGAAAAGAAAAGTATACACTTTTTGATACCGTAAGCAGAACTGGCGAAGAAAAATTACTACACTCCGCACAGTGCGTCAAAGTGTGCAATTTTTTAAAGAAAAAACATAGTCATGATTTTGAGAAAATTCCGGGAAATGGGAAGAGTGAATGCAAATTCCAATAAGAGCTTCTTAAAGCAGAGGCTTTGCCGTATAAAATGAAAAAAAATTTTTCAATTCGACCAGTTTTCGCGAAGTTACGCTTATTTGAAATTCGTCAAATTTTGATGTAAATTTCTTGTTGCGTTAATTTTTTTGACCAGTATATATGTATACGTTTGAGCACTGTGGTGGTTGGGCTCGAACTAATTTGTTAGTCATGTTTTAAGAACAATACAAGGTGAAGCGAACTAAACAGTCTTGATTACATAATCATACATGACATTTAGGTTTTCAGTGTCTGTTTGTGAATTAATCGTGTTATCGATCTTTTTAATAAAGAACATTTCGGTGATTTCTCTTTTTCTTCTAAAGCGTTCGCAATGTAATATTTTTGGTTCCGACCAATTAAACTCGTGATCATGTGGTGCACGGTGTTTGCTGACTACGGATTGGCAGTTTTCGTCCTTTTTTCTGTCATTTTTATGTTCTTTGATTCTGGTCAGAAGGTGTCGTTTGGTTTGCCTAATGTAAGAGGCTTCACAGTCGTTACAATTAATACGGTAGATGACTTCAGTTTTTGTTTCAATTTACTTGATCTTTGCCTCTTTTGATAATTTTTTCTAATTTTTTGGGGACTGTGTAGATGGTATTCAAACCTGTTTTTTTTCAAATTTGTGCTAATTTTGTCTGTCAGTCCTTTAATATAGGGGAGGATAATGCTTGTTTTAGAGTGAAAGATTTTCTTATTATTAGTAGCGTTGATGCAGTCAGAAAGTGTGGTATCTCGTCTTTTTAATTCATTCAGTCTGATGTTTACGTGTTTATTAATTATTTTATTAGGGAAGGAATTATTAATTTAAATTTTCTTAACAAGATCGATATTTTGTTTCCAGTATTTTTTATCAGAGAGTAAAATTGCGTGGTCAACTAAGTTAATAATAGTGTTAATTTTGTATTTAAGTGGGTGGCTAGAGTAATAATTAATGTATCGTCCAGAGAAAGTAGGTTTTTGGTACCAATTTGTCAAGATCTTGTTATTATCGTCTTTAATAAGTGTCACGTCAAGAAACGGGATGGAGTTATGTGATTCGGTTTCAAAAGTGAATCTCAATCGTGGATGGTAATTGTTGAATATGGAGAGAACAAAGTCAATCTTGGTCTTAGGTAGAACAGTAAGAATGTCATCCACGTATCTGTAGAATATGGGCACATCAAATCCGAGTTTCTGCAAACGAACTGTCTCCAGGTCTTCCATAACCATGTCTGCCAGAATAGGTGACAAATGAGACTCCATAGGGCTTCCGAAGATCTGCTCGTAGAACTGTCCGTCAAACTTAAAACTAGTGGAGTTTAGAATTAATTCAATAGCATGTAAGAACTGTAGTAAGCTAAATAATGTATTGGGTGAAATGTCACTCCACCATTTTTTAATAGCTCCAATCACAAGTTCTTTCGGGATGTTAGTGAAGAGTGATGTCACGTCCAGTGATACGAGCAGATCCCCGGAAGGAACGCTGATATCTTTGATTGCAGTCACCAGGGACCAGCTGTCTTTGATATGTGACCGTGGTTTCTGGACAGA